GGTTGGTATGAGATCCACTTCTTACAACACAGCTACTACAGTTACTGTAGGTTGGTATGAAATCCTCTTCCTTACAACACAGTTACTGTAGGTTGGTATGAGATCCACTTCTTACAACACAGTTACTGTAGATTGGTATGAAACCCACTTCTTATAACACAGTTACTGTAAGTTGGTCAGATATCCACTTCTTACAACATAACTACTGTAGGTTGGTATGAGATCCACTTCTTACAACACAGCTACTGTAGGTTGGTATGAAACCACTTCTTACAACACAGCTACTGTAGGTTGGTATGAAACCCACTTCTTACAACACAGTTGCTGTAGGTTGGTATGAGATCCACTTCTTACAACACAGCTACTGTAGGTTGGTATGAAACCCACTTCTTACAACACAGTTGCTGTAGGTTGGTATGAGAGACATCTTTCCTATGTTTACCTTCAGTTCAGTTTTATTCGAAACTATCAGTTCCTTGACACTTGAGTATCTCTTACAATCAAAGAAAATTAAAACAAAACCTAAACAAGAATTGTTTAAAACATACTGACATTTAGTGCTAAGAAATTTTTGGTTATAAACTTAATTACTGACCGGGCCGGACACAGCTCCATCCGCAAACGTCATCACACAAGCACTGTTTTCTGGGATTTTTGCAATCAGCGTGGGGTCTGCATTTACGGAGACAGCGGCGTCCCTCAGTGGCAAGCTTCTCTCTAATCCTTGGACAGTGTTCCTCTTGATAAACATGAAAGTCGATTTCTGAAAAACGTTAAGCCTATTCTGAGTAATTATATGAAAAACGTTAAGCCTATTCTGAGTAATTATATGAAAAACGTTAAGCCTATTCTGAGTAATTATATGAAAAACGTTAAGCATATTCTGAATAATCATATAAAAAACGTTAAGCCTATTCTGAGTAATTATACGTTCAAAACTAGCAGTAAGTTATATACGTGTTGAGAGTGTTCAGATGGCATAAGAAAATATGACGACTACATAATATCAAATCAAAGAAACCATAGATAGATTTCTAAATCTATTTAGGTGTTCATAAAAAAATAACGCATATTTTACATTGTTCAGTCAGTAAAGTCAGAGGTCAAATGAAAGAAATGTTACATTGTTCAGTCAGTAAAGTCAAAAGTCAAATAAAAGAAATTTTACATTGTTCAGCCAGTAAAGTCAGAGGTCAACTGAAAGAAATTCTACGTTGTTCAGTCAGTAAAGTCAAAGGTAAAATGAAAGAAAATTTACATTGTTCAGTCAGTAAAGTCAAAGGTGAAATGAAAGAAATTTTACATTGTTCAGTCAGTAAAGTCAGAGGTCAAATGAAAGAAATTTTACATTGTTCAGCCAGTAAAGTCAAAGGTCAAATGAAAGAAATTTTACATTGTTCAGTCAGTAAAGTCAGAGGTCAAATGAAAGAAATTTTACATTGTTCAGTCAGTAAAGTCAAAGGTCAACTGAAAGAAATTCTACGTTGTTCAGTCAGTAAAGCCAGAGGTCAAATGGAAGAAATTTTACATTGTTCAGTCAGTAAAGTCAGAGGTCAAATGAAAGAAATTTTACATTGTTCAGTCAGTAAAGTCAAAGGTCAAATGAAAGAAATTTTACATTGTTCAGTCAGTAAAGTCAAAGGTAAATTAAAAGAAAATTTACATTGTTCAGTCAGTAAAGTCAAAGGTCAAATGAAAGAAATTCTACGTTCTTCAGTCAGTAAAGTCAAAGGTCAAATGAAAGAAATTCTACGTTCTTCAGTCAGTAAAGTCAAAGGTCAAATGAAATAAATTCTACATTGTTCATTCAGTAAAGTCAAAGGTCAACTGAAAGAAATTCTACGTTGTTCAGTCAGTAAAGTCAAAGGTCAACTGAAATAAATTCTACGTTGTTCAGTCAGTAAAGTCAAAGGTCAACTGAAAGAAATTCTACGTTGTTCAGTCAGTAAAGCCAGAGCTGAAGGGAAATAAATTCAAGAATTGAGTAGTAAAAAATACCCTTTTATCGTTTTAGAATTCTAGATAAAAAAGTTAGCTATTTTCTTTCTTTTTCTGCTAGTAATAAGAAACGTCTTTTTCTGCAAGTGCATATCAATAAAGTATAAATTTCGAAACGATCAAAAACAACAACAGACTTATGTTAGTCTAATGTAAAAACTTCAAGAGGACGTGGAAGTAAATCTCTTGCTTACGTGTTTGAAATTTTGAAAGAGTTAGACACTTTTTAAAGTGTACATAAGCTGGAAAAGGCCTGATAGCAAAATATCAGATGATAAATTAGACGCTTCCCTACGGATGGTGACAGCGATGGAAACCTTAATTCTATTGAGTATATAATAGTGATTCTTGCACGGCTCATCACATAACAGCCTCCTACTAGGTCACGTGGTCTCTAGAGTTTCTACCCTAAGATTAAAGCGTGTTATAAATAGAATAACACGATAAATAGTGCATTTCTTGATTTTTTATTACAGGGAGATCTTCTATATCTCAAAGTGTATATATATATATAAATCAGTATGTTAAGACTAGTGAACAATGCTCCAAATCCACCCACCCCGCCCCCCCAGTGTCTGAGCAATAAGTCTGCAGGTTTATAACGGTAAAAACCGGGTTTTGATTCTATACCCTTGGTGTAGCTTTGTGCTTAACTACAACCAAACGAAACCGAGAAGAAGATAAAAATTCGATGACAGGAACCCACTTTGAGACTAATAATGCTTGGAGACGGCTAGAGGAGAGACTGTCATAAGAAGCTTCTCAACACCTAGAGGAGAAACTGTTATAAGGAACTTCTCAACACCTAGCAGAGAGACTGCCATAAGGAGCTTCTCAACACCTAGCAGAGAGACTGCCATAAGGAGCTTCTCAACACCTAGAAGAGAGACTGTTATAAGGCCTTATAACAGTCTCTCCTCTAGGTGTTAAGAAGCTAACTTCTCAACACCTAGCAGAGAGACTGCCATAAGGAGCATCTCAACACCTAGAGGAGAGACTGCCATAAGAAGCTTCTCAACACTTAAAGGAGTTTTCTCTTCCTGGACAGCTCCTAGCACTAGAAGGTAACCACTTCCTCTTGTAACAGACTTCACGTGAACCGCATGGCAGCTGCACGTAAGTTATCACTTGGTTGTCAAAGGAACCGAAGAACAGTTTTTGTTTAGTTAGGTCCAATCACAGCTATCGAGACTTCTCTACAACGGAAGTTTCCTTAACTTAAACATAAATCTCGGCTCAACTGACGTCACATTTACTAAAACACAAAAAAATCCCTACAGATAAGACAGTGTTGTCATAGAAACTATACCCCCCCCCTACAGTTGAAACACAGATGCGTTCTCATGTAAAGTGTAAAAACCTACTTCAGAAACATCAAATGTGTTGTCATGGCCACTGCAAAAACCTCTACGAAGCGAAACTACACAAACTGTTGTCATGGAAACGGTAAAAAAACCTACAGTTGAAGCACGAATATGTTCTCATGGAAACTGTAGAAACTTACTTCAGAAACAGCAAATTTGTTGTCATGGCATCTGTAAAAACCTTACGGCTGAAATATAAACACATTGTCATGGAAACTAAAAACTACTACTCTTGACTTAGTGACAAGAAAACGTATCAACACGTTGGATATAACTTTTTTCTGTCAATTATAACAAATTTTTAACGTTTGTTGATACAAATAAAATAAATTCACTTGAGTGTAATGTATAGCCTCATTAGCTATCTGTCCATTCTGCTGCTCTTTATCTGCTGGTCTGTTCAACCGTCTGTCTGTTACTTTATCTGCCGATCTATTCAACCGTCTGTCTGTTACTTTATCTGCCGATCTATTCAACCGTCTGTCTGTCTCTTTATCTGCTGATCTATTCAACCGTCTGTCTGTATCTTTATCTGCTGATCTGTTCATCAGTCTGTCTGTATCTTTATCTGTCGATCTATTCAACCGTCTGTCTGTCTCTTTATCTGCTGATCTAATCAACCGTCTGTCTATCTTTATCTGCTGATCTATTCAACCGTCTGTCTGTCTATCTTTATCTGCTGATCTATTCAACCGTCTGTCTGTTTATCTTTATCTGCTGATCTATTCAACCGTCTGTCTATCTCTTTATCTGCTGATCTATTCAACCGTCTGTCTATCTCTTTATCTGCTGATCTAATCAACCGTCTGTCTGTATCTTTATCTGTTGATCTATTCAATCGTCTGTCTGTATCTTTATCTGCTGATCTATTCAACCGTCTGTCTGTATCTTTATCTGCTGATCTATTCAACCGTCTGTCTGTCTCTTTATCTGCTGATCTATTCAACCGTCTGTCTATCTCTTTATCTGCTGATCTAATCAACCGTGTGTCTGTCTCTTTATCTGTTGATCTGTTCATTTGTCTGTCTGTCACATTATCTGCCGGTCTATTCAACCGTCTGTCTGTCACTTTATTTGCTGACCTGTTCTTCCGCCTGTCTGTCTGGTTGCCGGTACGTTTTTATCTTCCTGTTTATTCTCTAATCCATCTTTATCTGGCTGTCTGGCTGTATGCATCTACCTGTCGGCCATATTGGTGTACTTTGTGAACTTTCTTTTTACATATGTGATACCACAAAATGTCGTTAGATATATTTATAGGTAATCAAAGTTTGTAGATCTAAAAGATAACACAATTCAAACTACGTAAAGCTATATTACAGAAAACACCAAATATATTTATAAGTAATCAAAACACAAAGTCTGTAGATCTAAAAGATAACACAATCCAAACTACGTAAAGCTATTTTACCGACGCTTCCCACGTTACTTCCATTTCCATTTCATACCAGATGTTTACTGAAAATAACTATGTAATCACAACGTGAAAGCTTCTATGCTACAAAGCACGAGCTTGCCTCGTGAGAGCACGTGGTGATATTCGCTGGCTGATTGAGAAGTAATTGAACTAGGGCAGGGAAATAAACATCGTGGCTTTACAGGGTATTCCTTTCACCTGGCAATAATTACTGAGACAACAACAACAATTCTCACCCAGTTCCCATCTCGTCGTCATCACCGGGCGTCTTTTCTAATTGACACGACAAAAGGGTATTAATTAAACCACTTTACAGACTCGTATGTTATTTGTCTATGTTTATATTATTTGTTTGTTGTTACTGCGTTATTTCTTAGTATTATAAAAAACATCTAAATATTTTACAAATGTCACCGTGTTATAATAATATCTGTGAACATTATGCCAAAAGCTATTGAGGTATCAATGTCCTGTGTGGAATATCAATCCCTACGACGACAAAAATACGCCGTCTATGAAATGTCTTATTATCCACACACTGTGATAGTGATACACCATGTATCAACTGTCTTATCATCCACACACTGTGATAGTGATACATCGTGTATCAGATGCCTTATCATCCACACACTGTGATAGTGATACATCGTGTATCAGATGTCTTATCATCCACACACTGTGATAGTGATACATCGTGTATCAGATGTCTTATCATCCACACACTGTGGTAGTGATACATCGTGTATCAGATGCCTTATCATCCACACACTGTGATAGTGATACATCATGTATCAACTGTCTTATCATCCACACACTGTGATAGTGATACATCATGTATCAGATGTCTTATCATCCACACACTGTGATAGTGATACATCGTGTAT